AAATTCAAAATTCAAAATTCCTCAAGAAATTCTGAAAATGCTGCGGACGATAGTGGTGAGTTTGTCGATATTGCTTCAGCTATTGATGCCTTAGGAAGATGTCCTGGTCGTTGGACGTCTATATTGGAAGAAGCCCTTCCATCTTCCATCTGGTGTTGCATATCATCACCCTATCTTTTCTGCTACCATCTTTATTCTTGCATCCGTTCAGCATTTAGTTTACCTAATAATTACACCAACAAATGTTGATGTTAACTTAATCAGCCATCTAAAGGTGGGGACTGAGAAGAGTAAGAGTAGAGAGGGACCGCAATGGCATTTCTTGCACTGCCAGTCTGATCTTAATTAAAAAGCATTTTTCTGTTGTAGCTTATTAGTGATCATTGCAGTCCAATAAAATTGTCAGTAGATTACACCCTTAATTAGTTGTCGAAACTTATCAAGAATAAGGTATTAGCCTCTAATTTCTAATAATTACTCTGTAAAAAAAAAAAAAGTACGAACCTAGAAAAATGTAAAGTGAGCTTAGAAAACGCCCTGGGCCTATGTAGTAACTATCACTAAGCTTGGGACTGTCTGGGAATGGTGATACTTTTTTTTATTTTTTGGAACTTGGGTAATTTGTCGGAAGAGGGAGGTACGGCATTCAAATTTGCCAGTTTGTTGTTAGCCAAAGGGCAAACCATCCAGACTAGGGCCTGAGTTCTGTGGGAATGTTTACTCACACGGACTCAGGAATAACCTTGGACAGGGGAAATGGCCACTCCAGCCCATTCCCACGTACCAAACAACATTTCCCAAAGTCCAAATTTTGATTCACTGAAAATGGAAAAGGAAGGAAATACAATTTATTATTTTTTTATATATATTTTTAGATGTTACTCAATGATTAATTTTTTTATATGTTAATAAAATTAATGATATTATATTTATTTATTTAATAAAATAAAAAATGTTATTAACAAGTTATATAAAAAATGAAAAAGTCCACGCATCATTGCCGACTGAAATTAATAAACCAAAATTTTCCAATTTTCATCAACCACACACCCAGATTTTTCCAGCATCCAAATCTTTTCCAAATTCTCCATTAGAAACAGCCAATTCCCGACGACCATGTAATTAATCCACTTGTTTCGATTATGGCTAGCAAACAAGCCGCAATCAATGAAAAAAAGAAGCAAAACTGCAAATTGCATACAATGGACAGGAAACCCATCATGACCTCGAATACCGTCGGTGAAATCCCAATGGATCCGAACACAGCATTCCAGTCAGGGTAATAACAGGAAAGACGAAAATTTAAGATTAATTAAATGGTATACATTGTATTATTAAATTAATTGATATATATAACTTTATAAATTTTAAAAAATAAAAAAATTAATAATTAAATAATATAATATTTCTTTTTTAATATGTTAAACAACTTAATTTATACCATATTATTAATTTTGAATTTTAATGTCATTTATCATTATTCTTTCCGAGTCACCATCGGCTGTCCGGCCAGGACATTCGCAGACCATGTGCTCCCACTCTGTGACCCGCAGAGAAATGACCTCATCGCTTTCAATTATTAAAGCACTAATCCGATCCAGACAAAACACACCAGAACGGAGAATCCCGTGTGCTGATTATAACCTCACGCAAAAGAGCTGGACCCATTTCAGTTATGTTCACAAAAAAATGACTAGCTACTTGCTCGCCTGAATGTACTTACCATAGAATTACCGGATTCGTTGCCCAAAATGTATGTCTTCGAAATTTCTGATTCTGTTTGCACTTTGAAATTGGAAAAATATCTGGAACTTTAATTTATGTGATCCTCCTGTAATGGGACGGCTTCGTAATAAAAAAATAATAATTAAAAAATAATTTTTTGATCATATATACTTATTTACATTAAAGAAATTATTATTTTTTCTCACAATTACCACCTTAAATTTTCATTTTCAATAATGACACTCTAAAAAATTTAAAACTTATACAAAATTTAAAATTTTTAAAAGATATTAATCATAAAAAGTAATAACATCTAAAATAGAAATAAAGGATTTAATTTTTTTTATAACTTTACATATTATTTAAAAATTAGTTTCTTTCATTTTATTAAAATTCATAATATTATAAGTATTTATTTATTTAATAATGTATAAAAAAATTATATAAAAAACTATTAAAAAAATATGTGCTTAGCATTACTCCTGTAATCTCCCCCACAAGTTACAAAAAAATACAACTAGCTAGGATATTACATTCATTTCCACACTCTCTTCCACACATCCCCTTAGAATTCTCCTTTAAAAAGGGTACCCCCTCTTTCTCCTGTCACCACTAAGTCTTTAATTTTCATTTCCTTTTAGTCATGGCTTCTAGGAAGATCTCCGCAGTTGTTATAATCTTTTCTCTCCTTTGCTACTCCACATTCACTAGTGCTTGCGGCTCATGCAAGCCTTTACCTTCGCCTCCACCTCCCGCTGCCTGTCCACCACCTCCAGTGGAATATTGCCCTAAGGACACTCTTAAGCTAGGGGTATGCGCTGGTCTCTTGGGACTCGTCAACGTGGTCGTGGGATCTCCTCCTTCGAGCGAATGCTGCGCTTTGCTGTTGGGCTTGGCTGACTTGGAGGCTGCTCTGTGCCTCTGCACCGCCATTAAGGCCAATGTTCTTGGAATCAACTTGGACGTTCCGGTCACTCTCAGCTTGATCCTCAGCGCCTGTCAAAAGAGTGTTCCTCCAGGTTTCCAATGTGCTTAGAGAAATAGAGGCACCCTGGGTTACATGACTTAGTTTGATTTAGTTTGGTTCTGTGTAACTTAATACGCGTGTGTGATCCTTGTTTTCTCAATACGTGTTCTTAATTAGTACTGTTTTTTACCAGGGTTTATCTTTCGGTTTGGGGTTAATAGGGTGTATTTTGTTCAAATAAAATATTACTGGGCAGGCAGGCTTAACTTCCTCAGCCTAATGTAATGATCTCAGTTAGTGTTGATGTATAGTGTAAGAGGTTTTTCAGTGATTAATGCTAGCTTCTTCTCCAATTTGTGAACATATCTATTTAAGACTTCCCCTCCAACCCAAGACCTTCTAAATTTTACATGAAAAGATTGTTGTTGAACCCCTCAAGTCATTGACAACTAGCCTCCATCAACTCCGTTTTAGATTATTTTTATTATTCATTATTATTATTATATTTATCATCAATATATTTTCAAATTAATTTTTGCACGTCTCAAGATTAATTCCGTTTAAGTAATCTTAAAGGCACATGCACATCCTGTACAAGGCTAATGCTTTTAAAAAAATTAATATTTTCGGATTATAACCCCAAGACCTAAACTCAAACCATAAATTTAGGCTACAAAGCGACATTTAGCTACAGTAATCCAGGTCCCGTTCTGGTAATTACAAGCATTGGTCATTTTACTTGGAAGTCTGGAGGAGAACCACGCAATAACCCAACAATAAGCACAAGAGCCCAAATAACCAGGCCTATTGTTAATGTTAAGGCAAGCAAGAAATAAAAGGCCTACCCATGAAATCTTTCACCAACGGGCGGCAAGGAGCTATGGGCTTGAGGTGGGCTAGTTCTCCCCTTTAAGGCCCAAGAATAATTTTCATCATAAAGGCCTTATTTTCTTTCCGTGAAGCGCAATGCAGCTGCGAAAGACAGTTAGGTAAGCGTTCGTTGCTTCGAGCATATCTTAGCCAACGATAAAACCAACATATAAGTCCTCAAACTTCTATAACTTCGGACAATTGATCTCTCATATTTTCAAGGGCTAAAAGCATGTACAATGGTGTTCTATTAGATTGTTTGTTTCTCAAAAGTTAAGAGGGATAGAATTTTATCCCATTGGAGGTGAATTCACAAATTAAACTTGTTCTTTGCAGAGAACAAGCTCATGCTTTATATTTTAAGTGCGAAAAATGCTGCATCTTGTTACAATCATCCTAGAATTTAATGATTTTAAGTCATTGAATAACAGAATTTTTTTTCAAAAAAAATTAAAAATAAAATATAAACAAAATTTTAACCCATTATAATATGATCTAAAAAAGAGCTTGTTTTCTTTTCTTTTGTTTTTTTTTTTTTAATTTCATTTTAAAATTGTTTCTTAAAATGTGAATCTACACTGCTTGACAATGTTATTTGATCATTGTGATCTAATGGCTAACAAATTTTTAAAAAAGTTTTTTAATTCAATTTTTTTTATTTGAAATGAGTTAAATAAAATAATACTAATATAACTTTTGAAAAAATTCTATTTAGATATATGAATTAGAAAAGAGATGTTCTATTATGTAATCTATTAGGTGTTTTATTTTATGATTAAAAATTTTAAATGTAAATTTATATAAAATAATATTAATTGTGATAATATAACATTAAAGTGTACTTTTTTATTGTTCCCCATTTTACATGCTCATGAGGTTGATTTATTTTTGTCAATAATCAAGCAACATTTCTTTTTGCTAAGCTTCAAGATATACTTTATACTTACCAATTCACGTGTTATTTATCTCATATTAATGTGGAAGTATTTTTATGTGACAATTTTTTTCAACCAAGATGAAGAAATAAGAATTTTTTGAGCAAAATAAGATAAATGATGCACAAACAGATATGTAGAAAGCATGACTCCAAACTCTGGTTGGTAAATTGACAGGCTGAGTTGAAAACTAAAGTCATCAATTGATGATAGTAGAGAAGTATGTGGGCTTATTTGAAACTTTATTCTTTTTATAAAAAGCGAACATAAAGAATGTAATGCGAGGAATAATAGGCAAAAATAAATAAGAAAGGGAAAAAAGAAAAAAAGAAAAAAAAGAAAAAAGGCGAGACTGAGTTTTCAAATGGGAATGTTGTTTATCAGTTAATAAGAAAAGAATAATTCGGGTTAAAAAAATTATATTCCCTGTTTTATGCGTCTGGATCAAGATATTTTTGATGAGATAGGGTCGTTAATATTATAATTTTGTTACTTATTTAATAAGATAATTTAAATTATAAAATATTTTAAATAAAAATTAGTGCATATTATTTTTAATTTTTTTAAAAATTAAAGTATTAATTTATATTTAAAATTTAAATATTAATATTTAATAAAATAAAATAATTTAAAATTAAAATTTTAATGTATTTTAAAAATCATGATTGAAATATATATATTTTTTATATTAATCTTTTTATATCTTAAAATTATTTTGAATCTCAATTAATTTATACTCAAATTTAGTAAGATAAAATTTTTTTTTAATATTTAACTTTTTAAAATTTAAACTTAAAATTTTGTTTTTAAAAAATCAAATTTCTTCCACTTTTTGCATCAACAAATTATCAGTGGAATATAATATTTTTATTCTAATAAAATTTTATTTGATTAAAATTTAAGCACTTCTACGACCCGAACTGGACGCAGTCCAGACTGCAAACCAAAACAGTTCGCTTCAGGATTAAGGACCTAACAGTAGAAGCCAAAACTGTTCGGCCTTCACAGAGAAGACCAGAAGGAGACACAGTTCAATACGAAGCAGGTGACACGCCTCTGCTTGCTTCCCCTCTTCTTTGGTGTTTCGTCGTTTTTGCGTTTGAATTAAGCTGGATATGAATTTGCATCGTACCGCGCCTACAAGCTTTGTTCTTCTCGTCTGGTTTCGCTGATCCGATCGCTTAAACCCTAGCTCTTTCTCTTTGAATTTGAGAGAGCGGCTGATCGGATGCTTGATTGAATGATCCTGTCGTTTTGCGGAGCGATAGGTGGGGAATTGTAGAGAGAGAGAGTGAAAGAAGATGCAGAGACGAAGTCCACCCAAGCACAGGCACGATGGGACTTCGCCACTGCCTCTCGGGATGGATTGGAGTCCTCCACCTAGAAAATGGGTTAGTTCCCTTTCGAATTTCTTCATTGATGTTACTTGATTCTGTAAAATTTATTTTCAAATCTGATTGAGTTTGTAATCTAACTGCTGGACTTAGCTGAAAATTTTGTAATTTGATTTGTTCTAGAAAATCTACAAATTAAAAATCTTTTTTGGAATGAAAGTATTACAGTGATCTTGTTGGGCTAGCTATCTACTAAATCGAGGGCATTGAACTGGTTTCTGGATGGCCAAAAAAAAAAAAAGGAATACTAAAGAAATCAGGTTTGGGTCTTGTTTGGTGCGTTGAATTGATCCATGTGAAAGAAGAACAAACAGTAAATGTTGGATGCTGTAATTATGGTCTATGGTGAAAAAGATGACTAATTTACCAAGAGGTGATTAGGTTTGCTTGCTGGATATTCAGCCACATGGAACTTGTTATCTTCTTTCCTTTTAACTGAATGGAGAGGGGACATTTATTGCTTTACAGCTATTTAATTAGTTATCTGAATATATCAACTTTGTCAAGATTAGAGGTTTGAGTTATCTATTTTCCATGTCTAGAAACCATCATATCCGATTTGGTATTGTGTGCCATGATCAACTTGGCATGGGATATTGATAAAGAATCCGGTGAATCCTCTTGAATGAATTAAATATTTTATTTACTGTAAATGCAAATCTGGCAGAAACTTGCTGGGATCAAGCTAGATTTTTATTTCTGCAAATGTTATGTGATGGAGCTTATGCTTCTGGCCCTTTATCAGCTATTGTTTCTATTGGATTGTTTGGCAGAATGGAATAAAAGGCTGTGATTGAATTAGTATTTAATTATCCTCATACTTTGCAGAATGGGCAGGAAACTGTTTGGCCACATGATTTTCATACAGGATGGAGTTACTGTGTTACAATACCCTCTTGGGCTGTCCTCCCAAAATCAAGAGATTCAGATCCTGTAGTGGTACTGAAATTGATCCCTATCCAGTGTTAATCTATGCCAATGGTTAGATGTGTTTCTAGTTTGTTTTGTAGGGTTTGACTTAATAATATACTGGAATTCATCTGCAACATATGAATGTCATTGTAGCTTTACCATTCATAATTTTGTAATATAATTTATTACTCTTCTTCGTTTTGCACTATATGGGAAAATTTCAATAGAAGACAGGCATTATATATGGTCGAACTTTGTATGGCAGAAATTCAGACTTTATGGAGTTTAGTTTAATGGTATTATTAATGCTTCAATCCGTTGGTGTACTATTATTAAAGTTTGAGTGGTCATTCTTTGGTGATTCTCCTTGAATAACTATGAAGTATTTCCAGGTCTTGAAACAACTTAAAACAATTTATAATTTATGGGTTCTTAGTCACCTTGATCATCAATTTTGCTGAAATCTCTAACAAATTTGTCCGTGAAATCTTGCTGGCATTTTCAGAATGTATTTTTGCTAGCTGTACATGGGAAAGTATACTCGATATGTTGTTGCCTCTCTCTTTTATATTTTCTGATTGCTGCTAACTGCTATGAAATATCAGGTGTTTATTTGGTAATTATATACACTGAATCACATTAAGTTGTGAATAATGATGTTTGAGACTTTTTTAGATGCCATTCATGAATTTACAATGTTCCACCTTAACATTCTTAAGGGGCAGTTTTATAGGGTTCAGATTGGCATACAATCACCAGAAGGGATTACAACTACACGTGGAGTGTTGAGAAGATTTAATGATTTTTTGAAGTTGTTTACTGATGTAAGTAGCATTTTGGTACAGTAAGAATCCCCCTTTTGTTACGTTTGTAAGGAAACTTATTGGCATAATTATGGAAAAAATAGATTGGCTGTTCTTGTTGTAAAATATAAATATGTTTGTCAGAGGACTTTCTCATATCATTGGTCTTCTCCAGCTTAAAAAGGCATTTCCAAAGAAAAGTCTCCCACCAGCTCCACCTAAGGGACTATTGCGTTTGAAAAGCAGGGCACTATTGGAAGAGGTAGGCAATTCATTTTTCTTATTTTACTTTTTTCTTTCTTCTATGCTGCCTAACTCCTTCCATTTAACCATCGTAGGCTACTTTTTGTAGTTCATGCTAAGAGATGCTTCCTCAACTGATTAGCTAAAGCATCAAAATATGTAATATGGGTTCCCCAATTCCTCTAACATAATTGGTGGAAGAATTCAGAAATCAGTTTTTAGTGTGCAGTCATGAAAACATAGCATACATAGATGCTAATATGATGAGAATGTTATCAGCAAAACTCTTTAAAATTGCCAGAAGGATTACCTTTGAAGGGGAAGGGCAGTAGAGGTCTTTTGTTAGTTATTGTTTCAACCATAAAGTGTTATTCACATCATGGCCATTGGGGCTATACTGATTCCTGAGGACTTGTTTAAAGAATAGTGTCTTTTGGTTTTTGTTTCTCTTTCTAAATCAAGATTCAACATGGTTTCGAATACGGTACTGGTCAGCCAGAAAAATTCATAGAACTTTAAGTTTACAGTGTTCTATCTATTTTGTAAACATGGTCAATGGGATTTATTTTGAAGTTAATTTGGGGATGTTCTGCTTCTGTTTCTATGTGGGTGACTAATATCCTTAAAAGTCTTAGTTTTGTTGCAGAGAAGGTGCTCACTAGAAGAATGGATGGCAAAGCTACTATCTGACATCGATTTGTCAAGAAGTGTTGCGGTGGCATCCTTTCTTGAGCTTGAAGCTGCTGCGAGGTCTTGTATGTCCCATTCTGCTACATTAATTCAAGTTTCACTTTGAAATTTCTTAATCTTGCTTTTCATATATTTAATTGTGTTAAAACATTTCTAACTTAGGCACGGTAGTGCTGAAAGTATAGACTACCATTTTTAGTCATCAATATTGTTCTTATTATTATCTTAGAGTTTTTTACCTTTAATATAACTTTTTCAGCATTTCAAGACATAAATGAAAGCACTTCAGAAGCAAATGCTGCTGAAAATAGCACAATTTTGTCATCTCAGGTTCTCTCACAGCAGAGCTTACCTCCTTTTGCTGGTACTTCATCAATCATGTCAGATTATTATGGTAGTGATACTGCATATGAGGCCTCTGAGCTTGGGACGCCAAGTTTAGGAAGAGATGACAATTCTGAACTTGGTTTGGAGGAGCTGACACTGGATGAGGATTTGACAGGTCCAATAGAAAAATTTGTGAAGTATGGTATGACCAACATTGATGAGGGGTTATCCATGGGACAGACAATTCTAGACCAGCTTGAAGGTTTTCCTAGGCATAAAGCACAAACCAGAAATAACAATGATTCTGTGAGAAAAGATCCATATGTTGGAAATGGTTCTAGAGCTTCATTTCTTGCCGGTAATGGATTGGAGCTTTTCTCGGAACCAGAGGTGGGTAAGGCAGTTAGCCATGCTCGAAAACTATCAAATGAAAGTGTTGGAAGTGACATAAGTTCTCTAAAGGGTAGTGAAATGTCAAACTCTGGTGTTCCAAATTTGTCTGGTGATGGGTCTCTTGGCCCTCATGGAAGCATTGAGGATTCAAGTATCACTGTAAATGTTGGCAACCCAGAATTGCAGTTTTCAGGGGATGCACAAATAGTTCTTCCTTTGGATCAGCGTCATAAGATGAACAGAGTTCTTTTGGCTATGCAGCGTAGACTGGTCACTGCAAAAACAGACATGGAGGATCTCATGGCAAGACTGTACCAAGAAATAGCAGTGAAAGATTACCTTGCAGCAAAGGTATGTTGAACAAGATTAAATATTATGTTTGAGATGTTAGATTTTTGGATATTGATTGTGGCAATTGCCTATGGTAAAAATCAACATCAATTTATTCAGAGCAAGCTCAGTATGAGAAGGATACAAGGTGGCTGTTATTATGTTGATTTTATTTATTTCAATCTTGTGCTTTGCCCACTTTCTTCTTGTGTTGGCCTGTAATTTCCACAGTACTTCTTATGGGCATCTTACCACTGCCTTATGATTCAATCTTGTTTAGGTCAATGATTTGGAAGTTGAACTTGAAACCACGAAACAGAAAAGTAAAGAGAACCTGCAGCTGGCTATTTTGGATGAAAGGGAAAGGTTTACTAAAATGCAGTGGGAAATGGAGGAACTGCGACGGAAATCTTTGGAAATGGAGTTGAAGTTGCATACCAAACAGGTTATATTCAAACATTTTTCTAAAATCTCTTCTACTTTGTAATCACACAATTTTCATGCTACAGTCCTAAAGATTTTGGAGTTACTCGCCCCATGAAGATGCCAATGCCTTATTGCATATATGCTTTTTTTTTTTTTTTCTCTTAAATTAGTAATTAACATATGCAGATACGTTTAACTTTGATTGTGTTTACCTCATTTTACTTCCTCTGTTGGTGGTATTGACTATTAACTATGGTCTTGAAACCCTTTCAGAGTGAGAAGCCAAATGCAGAGCCAACTGAACAATCTGCTCCTCAGGAGAAAGATGTGATGTTGCATGCTACTAAAGAGCAGCTTGACAGTTTGTCAAGGAAATATGAAGAGCTGGAGGCAAAATCAAAAGCAGATATTAAAGTCCTCATTAAAGAGGTTAAATCCCTTAGGAATTCACAAAGAGAACTAAATCATGAGCTTAGTCAAACAATTACAGAAAAGTCTGAAACTGAGGTAAGTATCAAAACATTTGTGATATATTAAGTTTCACCTTGATGTTACTGCAATTGCACGGGGTGGTCAAAGCCAAAGAAGTCTTTTTCACTGTGGTCAAGTTGATGGGTTGTATTATTTCTTTTCCTGGAAAAAACGTTCTGAAATTTGATTTAATCTTCTTTTCTTGTCACCTTTTCATGGTAATCCTTGAAACTTTCAGGAACTCCTTAAACAGGAAAGACAAATCAGTGAGCATGCAAGATCCACTAGAGAAAAGCTGCTTAGTGATTGCAGAGTTCTATACAACCAACTTCTTGAATGTAATCTTAACTTGTCCATTACTGATGATGAAGACTCTCTCGTGGATTCATCCTCACTAGCAGATGCTCTCAATTTGCTAACTACCTCTGACAATAAAATTAGCCTCCTACTTGCTGAGGTACCTGGTTGTCCTTGGATTACACTCTCCTTGAGGCTTGCATGTTGCTTTGCTGTTCTTTTTCCTTTCTCATAACAGCTTGTTGATGCAGACTTTTTCGTTTTTCATCATAAGGTTCATAACATACCAGTGAAATCTTTTTCATAAATTTTTATCAGGCAGAAGTTTTAGCAAAGGATGGTGGAGCTAACCCAGGGGACATTGATAGGGCACATGAAAATGATGAAGCTATGAGAATAGATGATGAGTTGAGGAAGTTGCTGGCTAATATCTTCATCAACAATGCTAAACTAAGAAAGCAGGTGAACTCCCTGATAAGGCATAGGCTAAATACAGGTATCATGTCTAGCAATAATACTACAGAATCAAGTGAGTCATTGGAAAGACGAAAAGAAAACTGAATTGAAATATCATTTTGTAGAGAATTACGAGTCTTCCCATCTTTGTTAGTGTTCCTAGTAATCCATCCTAATCATGAATCAGGATCTCAATACTTGTACAATTTGGCGGTAACACATAAAGGCAAATCTCCAGTTTTTGTATCATGTTTAGTGACTTGATGAATTCAATACTGAAATAAAAAGAAAGGTTCAAAACTGAAAGTGTATTGGTTTGTATTCCCTTTTTGGGTCTGAACTAATGATAAGTATCACATTGATTGTCAACATGGATCATCAATTTTATCTAGTGATTTTTTAGTTGTTTTAATTTGACTTTTGCGTGTTGTATCTTTGAGGACAAATTAAGAGTAT